AAAGATCTTAATTTATTAGAATTAAATGACAATATGCACTCAATAGGAAGGAATGGAGAAAAAGGATTCATGTAGCCCACCCCACTTAGTGGGATAAAGGCTTGTTGTTGTTGTTGTTGTCGTCGTCCATTGAGGCCAAGTATTAGTAGGATTAAAATTTTGAATAGATTTAAGTTTACTAAAGTATGGGATAGAAAAAAAACTATTGGTTAGGTGGTTTAGGATAGCCAAAAACGCTGAAAAAATTTAGCAAAGGAATGAGGTGTTTAAGTATTCCAATTAAGAGTTGAATTTCTAATTTTAATTCAACTTCAAAATTGCTATTTCAATCTAACTTTCAATTGAAATTTGAAAGGAAAAGGATCAGCATTTGCATAGATCAAAGTGTGTTCAGGATTTTGTAGAGATGGCTATGCAAGAACATTGAAGGAGGTTATGCTTGAAGGAGAAAGGTTGGAAGAAGGGTGATTTCAGTGCTTTGAAAGCCTACAGTGGTGATTTCAATAAGGCTAGCAACTGGCGGCCTGCAGTGACAGCAAGCAGGCTTTGGAGAATATCGAGATCAAATAGTGAATGAAATTCAGCAATCATTAATTGAAATCAGCCGGAATAGAAATACTGCACAGTAGCAGTTGGAGAAATAAAAGAAATTAGAACAGTGGACCAACAAGAAAACAGAAACGTGCAGGCTAATAGATAAAGAAACAGCAGAAAATTTAGAGAAATGGTGAGCAGGAAAGAGTCTTGTATAAGAATTACTGTCTTTTGAATCCAAAAGATGGTGAGCAGAATTAAAAGACAGACGTGGCATGAAGAAGAGAGAAAAAGGCGACCTATTATCCCAAACAGCTCTTTGAATCACTCAAGGATATCGGATGTCCCATGCAGCTCTCTGACCAGAGGAGGGATTGTATTCAACATTCAAAGAGAAAAATAAATAAATAAATAAATAAAGAACCTGAACGAACATTTGAATCTGAAGAAAATTTTAAATTTCATTTATTCATTTTTTAATTGGTTTTGTAGATTTTGGGTGAGCATGATAATCTTATTGATATGAAAAGGGAGATATAAGTAGAGATTACACGACTCCTAATATAGAAAAATATAAAATAGGAAGCAAACAAACAGGAAATACATAAAACAAAAAATATAGGAAAAGGAAATAAAACAATGTTAATAACTTCTAATACTCCCCTTAAGTTGCAGCATAGATGTCAATTATGTTCAACTTGAATATGAACTCGTCAAGCAATGGCTGAGGAAGATTCTTCGAGAGAATACCTGCTAATTAGCCAATAAAATGAATAAATGAAACACAAAATTTCTCGGAATCAAGCTTCTCCTTGATAAAATGACGGTCAATCTCCACATGCTTGGTACGATCATATGGGACCTGATTATGGGCAACGTTGATGGATTTTATTGTCACAAAACAGTTGCAGAAAAAGAGAGAGCAGCATACGTAACTCATGGAGCATAATGCGCAAACAAAGGGTTTCACATACTCCAAGTGACAAACTGAAACTCGGCTTCAGCACTGATGGATTGTTTTTTTACTTTCAAACTGACAAGGTTCCCTCAAATGATGGAGAAATAACCCGAGGTAGATCGTCGATCATAGATGGACCAGGCCCAATCGGCATTTCGTATAAAGTGCAACAGAGTGAGAAGTGTGATGAGAAAACAACAAACCTGAGCACGGGGTGTCTTTCAGATAGTGAAAGATCTAATGTACAAAGGTGAGGTGATGCAAGTAGGGATCATGCATGAATTGACTGACAATACCAACAGTGTCAAAAATGTTTGATCACATATAGGCCAAGGTAAATGAGTTTCCCCACTAGATGTTGGTAGTGTGTCTTGTTCACCGGACGTCTGCCAACTTCTCATTGGGATACATTAGAACAGCCACTGGTTTGCAAAGAAGTGGCTTCCTCTCAGTCAGTAAATGTCACATATTTAAGTTGGGAAAAGCTAATGCACAAAGAGGACCGAACTACTTCCATACCTCGGAAATATCAGAGAGAACCCAAGTCCTTCATCTCAAAGGATGAGGACAGGATGCCTTTGAGAGATTTCATGGACGGTCGATCATCACATGTGAGAATGATGTCATCAACAAAAACAATGAGGATGGCAATATGGTCATAGAATGAGTCGCGGAAGAACATTGTGTGATCAGATTAGGCCTGAGAGAAACCATGGCCCACAACAACTTGTGTAAACTTGCTGAACCAGGCCCGGAGGGGATTGTTTCAATCCATAAATAGATTTTCACATTCTACACACCTATCCACGAGAAGAGGTTGAGTCAAAGCCCGGTGGGAGGAGAAATATTTGCGTACAAAAAGCGTACACAGAGTTGCGTACATTTCAGGTTATTCAGAGGGTATAATTATGTTACACTTAAGTTATACCCCCTTGTAATTCTTCCTGTAACCTAAGTGTAACCTAGCTGTACCCTCCGAATAACCTGAAATATACGCAACTCTGCGTACACTTTCCGTACGCAAATATTTCTCCGGTGAGAGAGAAATATTTCTCCTGTGGGAGACACATATACACCTCATCTGCGAGATCGTCATTAAGCAAAGCATTCTTGACATCTAGTTGGAGTTTAAACGTTGCATCAATGCAGAAAAGGGGTTTAATAGTTGTGGATTTTTGTGAGACTTTATTGATGAGATATGTGTCAACAAGAACAGCGTCATTCCAAAAACGTTTCAGTACATTAGATTGAAATATAACAGAACAAGCAACTCAATAAGGTGTTGGTTTTTCCGCTCAGCTACCCCATTTTGTATAGAGGTATCCCTACAAGAGTTGTGATGGAGGATGCTCTTACTTACCAAGAATTCTCCCAATATAAAGCTAAAATATTCACGACCATTGTCGGTTCAAATGACTAGATGGTGGTTTTGAATTGGGTCAAAATGAAGGAGTGAAAATTTTTTAAGGTGATTGCCACTTCAGACTTGTCTTTTAATATATAGGCCCAAATCATCCGAGCGTGCTCATCAATCAAGATAAAGAATCACAGTTTATTGATGTAGCTCAAAATTCGAGAGGATCCCCATAAGTCACTATGAATCAGTGAAAAAAAAGCGGAAGGAGTGTAAGGGTGGGGCGAATATGGAACACATTGAAGTTTATTTAAATGATAAATTTTACATTTAAAACTAGATAGATTTTTATTAATAAACATCAAAGAATACAATTATTTTAAATCATAAAAAACTCAAAAAACATTGTAAAAGCATAATAGGGCATTCAGTGGACTAGGAAAAACTACAACTATGGGATTATGTGTCCACATCATCAATATCTTTTGTTTGAATGAAGTAGAGCCCAGCTACCCGATTAGCAGGTCCAAGCATTCTCCCTGAACAATGATCCTAAAAAACACAAACAAGGTCATACTTACTGACCGACAACAGATTACACTTCCGCAAAAGAACGTGTAAACAGATCCTATAGTCAGCCCGGTTGTAAGAACAACATACCATTTACCTGCAATGGAACTACAGGAGTCGTCAGCAATTTTAATAGTATCTCTTCTGGAGCACGGAGAATAAGTTGATAAGGCTTTTGAACACTCAGTCATGTGGTCTGTGGCACCGGAATCAACAATCCACGAACTAGTAGAATCAAAAACAGTGAGTGTCATAAAAATATTACCTTGACAAACATGGGAGATAGACGGGTTGGAGAACTAACTAGATCCAAGTAGCTTAATTAAGTGTTCCAGCTGACTCTTGATGGAGTTCGGTGATTTCGGAATGTTTCGAGCAGGGATCAACTGCACCGTCATGGATTATGAGGTCGTAGCAAGTCCCTTAGGAGCGAGAAAGTGGCCAAAGACTTATCTTTAGATTTCCCATGGAGCTTCCAACACTTATCCCTGGTATGGTGGGGTTTGTGACAAAAATCACATATTGAGTGATTGGCTCGTAAGAAAGCTAGGTGGTGGACACCGTCGGAAGAAACCTCGGTTGTGGAGAAGTTCGCACTGATTTCGACTAAGTCAAAGGTGAGGTTTGGAGGTCGAGACATGGACGGAGGTGATCCCTTACCCAACTATCAACAAAAGAAGGTTGGTCGATGAGGATGCCGGCAGCAGAGGGGAGATCCGGCAGTTCTTGAAGGAAGACCAGTCGGGCAGAGGAAGGGCTCACGAGAGAAGTCTGCAAGAAGTGCTCGTGTGATAAGTCTACAGGAAACTCAAGACTGCAGAATTTTCATGAGAGAAAGCTCACAGTTCTAGAAGAAAGACCACGGAACGAAAAATGCTATAGGAAAACTCATGGAAGAAGGGATCGGCGGCTGGAGAACCTGCAGGGAGGGGAGATCGGGCGGAGAGGAGTTCCTGCTGTCCGAACTTGCAGGATAAGGCATACAAGGGAAGTTTTGGCGGCTTGGGCAAGATCCCGACAGCTAGGGTAAGATCACGCGTCTCTGATACCATGTAGATTTTGGGAATTAAGCAGGACAATTTTATTGATATGAAAGGAGAGGAATAGGTACATAATTTATGACTCCTAACATAGGAAGGATATTAAATAGGAAGAAAAAAAAAAGAAATTATAGGAAAAGGAAATAAACCAATGTTAATAACTTCTAACAAGTCTGAATGCCTCTTTAAAAAGCTAACTACTATAATTTTTAGACTATACAAAAGACATTCTAGACCTTAAGGTATTTTTACATCAAGGCTTATACAATAAATAAATAACTCAATTAGCAGAATAACATAACAAATAAAAAAATGACAAACAAAAACTCGATAGACTACCATAATTTATTAAATAAAATTTTTCAGGTCCCACTTGAATGGTTCCCGCAAATTATCCAGCGATCACACAAGTAGAACTCTAATAATACATAAAACTAACTTAAACCAAGAGAAATTACATCGTAACCTAAGGAATAGAGCATCATGCAGTAGCTTGCGGATGAAGCATCATTCTCAAAGAAGTTGCTCTCCTCATCAAAATTACCTCCAAAGTTTGTGGTGAATGGCTTACTTTAAGATGTTTTCTTTTTAAAGTTATACCATTATTTAACCCGTTTTCAGCTCTGGCCTTCCATTTCCCTGTTTGAAGAACAGATGCGGTATTAGAACAAAGTAAAAGAATGACAACATATTCAGCTAAAATTGGTAGTTTTGTTATGACATAGGCCATTCTATGTTAATTGTTTCACTTTAAGTTTATGATAATGATACTTTCCAATAAAACTCAAAACAAACTAAACCAAAAACAATGTCATAATTTCAAGATACATGCATCCAAACGAATATTATCTAATTGTCAGCAGTGCATATAAGAAAAATTAGGCATACTCTCTGGAGAGCTCTACCAAAACACAATGCATACATTGAAGATTTCTTGACGTATCTACAAACTGGCTAGAAATAGACATGAGTATTATTTGATGGCCAGTGCATTATTGATGTTCTCAATATTGTACGGTTAAGATTCAAAATTTCCACTTAAAACTTACTGAGTTTGATGTTCTTCATTCTCCTCGGTTACGGCATAGGTATTGAGATTATCTAGATTATCAAATAGATATCTCTTGGACCCTTGTATTTTCACACTTGCTAAAATTTAAAAGAAATTAGTTCCAGAAAAAATTTCTAAGGAAATTTCTCAAATATGTCACCAAGAAAAAATGAATAATGGAATCAAGCGAACTTAAATATATCCTGAATATCAAAAGGAAAAATTATAATTTAGAATGAGAACAGAAACTTGATGAATTTGTTCATCTTTGAAATAACCAAAGATTGAGCATACCTCTGTTACAATTGCAAGAAAAATGCGTAAAAGGAAAAAATTATAATTTAGAATGAGAACAGAAACTTGATGAATCTGTTCATCTTTGAAATAACCAAAGATTGAGCATACCTCTGTCACAATTGCAAGAAAAATGCGTATGTGGGGCCAAAGGCTGCAAGCGCCAACATTTTAAAAAAGAGCTCCTGAAATCAATAAAAATAAATAATATAAGAATAACCAAATCCATAAATAGCATGCGAAACTGCATTATTGTGGTTAAAAAGAAAAGCCTTCAATGCACTAAACCTGTATAGCTACTGTAATAATTACACTGCCTCATAAATTCCAAATAAATCCATGCAAATGTACAAGGTAAGAATGAACAATACTGAGATTGAAAATAGTAATGTTGAAGAAAAAGATCGAAATGATCTCTCAACTATTTGTAAGAGGCTATTTGGGTCCAAGCTATCTAATATATTAAATTTAATCTCTTGACTCACAAATATGACCAAAATTATCCCTCTGTTGAATTATGATCAGATTTGAGGAGTCAAGAGATTAAATTTGACACATTAAATAGTCTGATACTAAAATCTCAATAAACTTTAACTAGTCAGTAATTACTTGTTAAGGTAACTGGCATTGAGATGCTTGTTAATATGAACAGTCAGTTGCTCCACCATCAAATGAACATTGGAACCCAGTCATTAAATTGCATCAACTACATAAATATTGTTTACGTCGTTGCTCATCATTATTAGCCTTGAACCGACCACATCCATAAGTGTGGGAGTTAACATTAAATTGCACAAATCTTTTTACTGAACTTCTAGCAATATCAATAATTTACCCCTTTCCCATCAAATGATTCAACATGATTATTAAAAATTCATTATATTAGTTCATGGCCAACTCTCATATATATTCAAATCTTCTATATCTATTTTAATTATATTGCACCATAGGTGTTAAATTCATCTCCCTAACATAATTGCTCCTAATTCGCTACATCATCTTAATATTTGTATTTTTATTGCACATAACTTGAGTATCAGTGAACATTTATTTTCTAATACTTCAGTCCATTTGACATTGGTGACCAAATTATATTTTTACTAAAGTTCCCTTTAATTCGTATATTATTATCATACTTCACAAACTTATGATGCACTATGTATTTTAACAAATCAATCTTAACTTTAAAAGGTATATCTTTATTTGTTTGTCTATTCTTCCATAAAAAAGATACAAGATTCATAAAAATATCATGCTTCGTGATCTCACTTTATCTTCCAACATATACTCGATCTTTATTTTATTAATCATTAGTCACTTATCTTCAAAAATGTTCCCTAACTAATCTAGCCAACTTTCCACTTATTATGCTAGAGATCAACCTATTAAAACAAAGTCATATGCAAATAGCATAAACTAGATACCAACATTTTGAATATATTTCTGTAAGCATTTTCAAAAACAAGCTAAGGTGTCATTTTAATGCCCCTTGCAGAGACTTCAATAGTAAATAAAAAATTATGAATTGTTGACCACTTGACCTCAATACGTGCTTCACAACAAAAAATGACCAATTACCATAATTAAAAAAAAGGCAAACAATGAACACTGAATCGCTCAAATAGGTTTCAAAGCACCACTCAAATGCTCTCGTTCAAAAAAAAATTGTGTTGATGTATTTGAAGCATCAAAATTATGAAAAAAAAAGGATTTCACATCTGGTTCAATAAAATCTAATGAAAAATGACAGGCAACAAGCACGACATTATGAAAATTTTGGCTTGAAATACCTCGACCACAATCAATGCCATATAACAATCACACGCTCCACAAAAAGAACCACATCAATGCACCCCAGAGATGAAAATGCAACGAAAATCCACCCATATTGCCCAAGTCGACAACAAAAAGATTGACTTAACAAACACACGAGGCTGTGTCAATTAAATCAACATATACAAGCTTTGAAATAATGTGAGTCAATTTAGACAATAATTATTTTTTTATTAATTGTTTAAAAAAATTAAAATCAAAATCATTATAAAATTTGGGACGTCATCACTACCAAGTACCTAAAATACCCTCATCCTGACTCCATATCCTGGAACACCTTTCCCATCTTCACATTTGCATCACCCATCTTGTTTGTTATAAGAAAAAAAAAATTGAGCTGAAAGAAATAATCTAAACTAAACCCACAGTCTGCTCTGCATCTCTCGTTCCTTCTCTTTCGTAGTCTCTCATTCCCACGAGTCGCTCACTCGCTCCACTCAAAACTCAATAGCAATAGCCCGCTTTGACATTGTTGTCTATCTCCTAATCATTCCTCACGCATAGGGCCCAACTCTGATCACTCCAAAATTTCACCGTGTTTGCCTTCTCTCCTGTATCACTCTCGGCACTAAATCAAGGAATGCATGAAGAGAGCTCACCAGCAATGGCATCCATAGGACCCACAACCCTTCACATGAATATGCTTAACTCTCACTCTAAACCATCTCTCTTGTTATTCTCTACTCCAATCATTCCCCTTCTTTATCCCTTTGCCAGGAGAGTCTCAGCAACCACATAAGGAAGGAGTAAAAAAAGTAAGCCAAATCTAACAGGATGAGAGAGAACTCTTTAGCCCTCAAAAGGAGGGATTTTTTTAACAAGTGAGGAAGAAGCCTCCACAGTTCGTAGGAAGACAAGATGTAGGCATCTAAAGCCAAGAATAGATCAGTAGAAAATCCTCACAAGAGATATCATCTTGTGAATCAAAGAAAACTAGCTCGGAATCCGATTCGCTTATTTCCAAACTCCCGGTCCTCTTAAAGTGGTGATGTTGCTCTGATATAGCACAAATGCTTTTAATTATTGTTGTTGGAGTGTTACTGACGACGGTCGCTCAACCGCGCAGCGGATGGAGCCGGTTTTGTGTTAAACCCAATTATCTTCTTCATCGTTTCTTTACCTCCTGTAAAATCCCTTTACCAAGTTTCGGCCCACCTGCCTTCATCATAGATCTCTAATCCACCCCTAATTGAAGCCCTAAGAGGAGGTTCGAGATGGTGGATGTTTTCCTCCTCGTGTTCTTCACATTCGATCAACTTTTCTTTTGACCTTGGCACAGATTCTCCGGTCAACCTTTGTTTAGGTTTTGCAAATTGAGTTATTTGCATATTCATAGATTGCATCTCAATAAGCCTCTTTAGCATCTCTTGAATTTCCTTCATATTCTCGAATCGATCATCCAGTCGATTCTCCATAAAAGAAAATCTCTCCTCTATGGTGGTAAATCTCTCTTCCATCACAAATTTCCTTTGACTTATCTCTTCCTCCATTTTTTTCTCCATATCATCTACTTTCTTTGATGTCATCTCTTTCAGAAAAATTTTCGATCTCAAAGACAAATTTTATGGGTCACATTAAACATCGACCATATGATGATTTGATTAGGAGAGTAGATGTTTTAGATTTGACTTACATTAAAAAGGGCAAAGGTAGTCCTAGAAAGACTTGGGCATACTGTATAAAAAATTATCTTAATTTATTAGAACTTAATTTATTAGAACTTAAAATATGACACTCAATAGGTTGCAATGGAGAAAAAGGATTCATGTAGCCGACCCCACTTAGTGGGATAAAAATTTGTTGTTGTTGTTGTAAAAACAAATTTTACACATTGAATTCCCGTTGTCCCTCGTCAGCTAGCTCGCATCACAACTATACCTCAAATCAATATTCCCATATTACATCAATCTCGTCGTAGCATCCCAAGGAGCACCTACCGCAACTGTACGCGTACAAATCGATGCAATCCTAGAATAAGGAAGTTTTGGGTCCCTGTGTGTGGCGATCCCTCGCGCCTGCCTTCCCAAATAGCTCTGATCATAACTGGATTGCGTAGACGATGCGAGAGGAAGAAAAAATGGAAGTTTCGGGTCCTGGTGCGTCACGGTCCTTTGTGCATGCCTTCCCAGATAGCTCTAATCGCGACTAGATCGTGTAGACGGTGCGAGAGGAAGAAAAAATGGAAGTTTCAGGTCCCTATGCGTCGTGATCCCTCGCGGCTGCCTTCCCATATAGTTTTCATCGCAACTGGATATCATAGACAACGCAGAAGGAAGAGAAAAATGGGAGTTTTGGGTCTCTGTGCGCCGCTTTTCCCAATCGTTGCATTCCCAGCAAGTTCTGCTCAGGATTGTAGCAAAGGTGAGTTCTGATCCTATAGTCGTTGCGTGCAACAAAGGAAAGCGAGAAAGATGCGAATTTCGAGTCTCAATTAGTCGCGATCCTTCGCGTCAGAGCCATCCCGATTACAGTATCGCCAACAACGACTCGATCTCATCTGGCTTCCAAGTAGGGGTCGCCTACGCAACAATCTCTTCCAGCAATCTCGAAGCAGAAGGTGACGAGAAATCTTGGTCGCAACGATTGAGTGGTTAATTTCCCAGATTTGAAAGCTCTGATACCAATTTCGTACGATTCGACGTAGAAATTAGGGCAAACACGAATTTTACAGCAATAATCCAACAACTCTACAAAAACACAAAGATAAGCACCTACGATTAGAGAGGTAGGCGATCTCTCCCAATTCCTACAATTCGAAGGTAAGAAATCTCTCCCAAAACCTAAACCTAAGACTCACAACTCAATCTCATGCATATCTTCCTAACCCTAAAAATAACAAGCCAATTTATACCCAATAATAATAATAATAAAAGATTAACCTACCCTTAGACTTATAAATTTACCCTCAGGCTAGGAGCCCTCGTAGTATAAGGCTCATGGAATTGGAACATGGGCACCCCTACAAAAAATAATGACAAAGCTTTTAGAGTTAAAAGAGCTTCATCTTAGCATGGAAATGGAATTATCAGGTTTAATACAAATGGAGGAGGAGTTAAAAGATGAAATGGATATGGCAAATGTGGGCCAATTATACTCTGAAATAAGGCTGGCAAAGGCTACAAGATATTTTATAGATTGAAAGCAAACATTCTCCATAAGACCAGAAATTCATAAAGCATCATGGAAGAGAATGAATAGCTAAAATCTGATGATCTTCTTGCATGTTGACTAGCCTCAACTTTTTGTCAGCAACATCACAATTCAAAGTATAATATTCTTTTTCGTCTAGGTAACTTGTACATATCTTTCCTGGTGCGGTGAAGAGAAAGCGCATACTCTTATTTCTTTGTGA